TTCTAATTTTCTGAGATACTGAATTTGAGGTTTTCATTAGTTGTCAGTTATAGTCGTCAACATTAAAAGAAATAAACATTTGAAATATATCAGTCTGTGTGTGATGAATGAATATAATATACAAGTTTCACTTTTTGAATGGAATTACTGAAATAAATCAACTTTTTCATGATGTTCTCATTTTATGACCAGCACCTGTATGTGAACCTCTTGGATGAAGCTGATCATATGCTGAAGGAAACTAATACTGTTAACAGTGAACCACAACAGTGACGAGAGCAAATTGAAACTAGATGTGACAAGGCCAAGTGAAGAAAGGAACAGGAAAAAAAAAAAACAGTCTGAATGAAGCCAGGAGGTCTGGACAGAGAGACCAGACAAACCCAAAGAAACAAGGTGAGACAGTTCAGATGTCCAGCCCAGGGACTGTCCAGGTGAGTCAGGCAGACCAGTAAGATTGATTGGTGGGATGTGCTTCACAAATGGAGCATGAGCTGGAGGGGAGGCCTTCTTATAGATTCCATTTGTGTCTGGAGGTGACTTTTGAGGTAGGTCAGCACTGACTCCATTTCCAACAGGAAGTGTAGTTGTCTGACTCAGGTTAGCCCAGATCCCCTCACAGACAGAAAGTAGAGCTGAGGAAATGGGGTTCATCTAAAATGCCTCGGTATTTTGGCATGGCATGTCGAGAGCCACTGGCCCTGAAATCCATTCAGACAGGAACTGTGAGGCATCCCCTCACAGGAGTTTGGGGAGCTGAATCTGTCTGGCGCCTCCTTAACAGAGCAAGCAGGAGCAGTTTCTGGTCTTTATGGCAGGTGCTTGGATTTTGTGCTGGATCCCCTCATCAGTGTGACATGGCCGATACAGGCATTTCTGATCCCCTCAATGTCTGCTGCAGGAGGAGAGGCTTCTGTCTGGAGTCACTTCTCAACAACAGCAACAGTTTCCATGTGGAGTCCCTAAGTGGCAGAACCAGGATTTGGTGGAGAGAACTTGACTTGTAGCCCCTTGGCAACATGATGGGGATTTAACAGGATGCTCTTGAAGATTTGTATAAATCCTGAGCTGTGTGGTGGGACCCTCAACCTGCCAGAAATGGGTCAGCCTGGGCCCTTTGTGACTGGAGCAGGAACCGACTGTGAGGCCACTTGCCAGGCCTTTTTGATGGCCGACACTGATGAGTTGAGTACTCCTGGATGACTGGATAAGGTGAAGTCCTGGATCCAACTGAATCTGTTTGATGACAGAAGCTGACAGAGATGAGTCGGTCTATAGTTGAGACTTAAGTCGTTGACCTCAACCATCTTGACATTGGGTGCAGAACCATGGCATGTGTTCAACCAAACCTCTTGAACAACTGAAGCTGACAGAGAATAGACAGCCTTTTCTAGTCTGTTGGAACCCCCATGGAGACAGGAACAGGATTAGGACGAGAGAAATCTGGTGGTATCCCCTCGGTGACAAGTTCAGAACTAGGAGTCCAGCAGAACCATCTCAGCAGCTGGCACTTCATTTGGCAATGGAGATTGGCTCTCCAGAACCCCTTCAG